CAGATGGTCAACACACACATGAAAAAGTGCTCAATGTGAGGTATTTGAGAGGCAGGGTGGGGGCTGTGGGAGGTAGGGAAGGAAAAAATGAAAGAAAATGGGATTGGGAGGGAGACAAACCATAAGAGACTCTTAATCTCACAACACAAACTAAGGGTTGTGGGGGAGTTGTGTGGGAGGGATAGGGTGGCTGGGTTTTGGATATTGGGGAGGGTGTGGGTTATGGTGAGTGCTGTGAAATGTATAAGTCTGATGATTCATAGACTTGTACCCTGGGGCAAATAATGCATTATATGTTAATAAAAATAATTTTAAAAAAGAATAAATGGTCACTTTTATAATAAAGTATCATAATGGATTCTTGAACACTGACAACACTTTATAAGCAAAGAAACAAAATGGTCTTAAATTTAAGACCTTACAGATGTGAAGCCCAGTACAAAGCATTATTAAGAATTCTGTTTAGACATGTGTTGAGATGAGCACTGAGCATTATATGCAACTAATGAATCATTGAACACTACATCAAAAGCTAATGATGTACTATATGCTGGCTAACTGAACATAATAAGAAATACATATTAAAAAATTTTGTTTGGGGTCATAACTAGGATGAGAAAATAGGTCTTTTTCATGATGTTTTCTTTATAGCCCCTACTATTTTGTCTTAAAATGTAAGAAAAATCGTTGAAAACATGTTAAGCTCTTCTGAAAGTTCATAAAGATGCTTTTAGGTCATTGTGGCACTATTGAGAAATGGCAGAAGTAGAGTGAATTGTATTTTGGAGAAAAGTGAAAATGGGTAACATTGCTGAGGGTTGGTGGAAAGAGACCTTCACATAAGCCACTGGTCCATCCACATCACTGGTTCTTGATATGAAGCTCCCTTTTCTACTTTAACTGTCAGGAGGCTTGAAACAGAATGGAGAGAGCCTACTGGTGAGGGAGCAAGCAGGTTACTCTAGTTCTCTCCCTTTCTATAGCATAGAATCTGTTGTGGAACAATCAAATGCTTTCTTTAGTTTTAAAATTGTCCCCTCACCCATTTAACATATACCTTAGTCATGTTTGCATGTAATTAAAAAACTGTCTTGAGAATTACTTTTGCTAACTTAAATAATGTCTTTGATTAGAAGAAGCATAATTTACTTGAAATTTCCATATCATTAGACATGTAAACTCTTTCTAAATGTTCACTACTATTCTTTGTATATTAACCTTTAATCACATTTCAAATAATGTCCTTATAAAAATTTCCTAGAAGTGAATTTACTAGGCAACAACTGTGAATATTTTAAGTCCTTTAGTGAAAATACTAAGAAACCGTTCTTCAGAAAGATTAATTTATACTTCCAAATGCAGCATATGATATTATTTGCTCCACCAGTATAACTTTTAAAAATTAAGGAAAAAAGTTTAAGTAAATTGAAGGTTATAATTTTTTTGGTCTTAATTCACATTTTTTCATTATTATAGTAACTCTTTTATAATTTTATATTACCATTTCTATTTCTTTCTCCATGAATTGCTTGTTCTTGGCCTTTGCTCATTTTTCTACTTCCTAATCTGTATAAATGTCTTTGGTATATGGTATATTTAAGATATTAGATAACTGGTCTCATATTTATAGCAAACATTTTCCCAGTTTGTTTTTTTAAAGATTTTATTTTTATTTATTTGACAGAGAGATCACAAGTAGGCAGAGGCAGGCAGAGGGAGAGGGGGAAAGAGGTTCCCTCCTGAGCAGAGAGCGCAATGGGGGATTCAATCACAGGACCCTGAGATCATGATCTGAGCCGAAGGCAGAGGCTAAACCCACTGAGCCACCCAGCGCTCCTGTTTTTTTGTTTCATAATTTTCTTTATGATAATTTCTTTTTGTTTGAATGTTTTAAGTCATGGTATGATAGAATTCCCATCTTTTCCATTGAATTTCCTTATGTTGTTTATGTTTTAAAAAATTTTAATCAGTTATTTAATAACATATACATAATTTTTCTTTTACTCTCTTTTTTAATATTTAGTTCTTTATACATCTTCCCACGTATAGACACTATTAGCTAATGTCCCCAGTTCCACAATCATTATGGACCAATTTATTCATTTATTGGCATCAATGATAAAAAAAGAATGTAGTTTGACTGCTCCACATTTTTGCATAGAAAGTCTGGCCTTAGTGTAAGTTCTTTGTGACAGCAAATGAATTCCTTTAGCTATGTTATCCTTACCACTCCTTTTCATAAAAGAATTAATCTCAGAAGAAAATAACAGCACATTTGCACTATAAATGAGGAGATATATATCTATATCATATATATAGAGATATATCTATATATACATGGACATGCATGTCACTAATATATTTCTAATCTTTGATGCTGGTGGTCTCCAAAACTTAACACAAATTATTTTTGCATTAATAGCTATTTTGAGGGTGGTACCACCTAGTAGTTGGGACCAAAGTGAATTATACTGGCAAAGTTTAGGCTAAAATAATCCTTTTCTTATTCTTAAAAAGTATGATCCCTAAGTAGAGCAGTGCATCTGCAGTGAAAGGATAATATTTTTGAAACCCTTATCGATCTTCCTATTGTTGATATAAAAGTCTCAGAGATTTTAGAATCTGTTTGAACTGATGAATCAGTATCAATCATGCTCACATAGCTTTTAATTTTTTTCTTTAATTATTATTATCTTATTTCTTAAATGTGAGTTCATGTTCCCACTAGGCAAAGCTTTACAGAGGGCAAGGATCACAGATTATAAGTATTTTGGAAGTCTTGTCTATCTTGCCAAATCACATTAAATATAATGCTCTGCACAAAATAGAGGATCAATAGATGAAGCACTGAGCATTAAACTATTCTGGAATTGGATTTTGAGATGAAAATTTTTAACACTGTGAACTTTCCATATATGGTGTTTGCTGTTGCATACAGATCCAGACTTCTCAACTTTTATTCCCAAATCTCCTAGTTCTGATGACTATATTCCTACTTATTCTGAATCTCTGAGGTGAAGCCTGATTTCTCATTAATAACCTAGAAAGTCATTCTCACTGGTTACTACATTAAAAGTACAATGATTGCCAAGAGAAACATACTGAAAAAAAGTAAGATGCATTATAGGATTGACATGTCAAACTTGTTTCTTCTCTTTACTTTCTGATCTTTATTCTTCAGAACATTGTTACATAATTCCAAAATTACATAGAAGAGCAACAAAAGCTACTTATTTCTCCAAATTGAAAGATGTAGAATTAAAGGCTAGGCAATTTTTTTAAATTACAAAAAATTGGAAAGGAATGGGAACTGGACAATAATTTATCTTGTCAAGCTTGTTTGGGTCACCAATATTCCTTATCTCTGTATACTTTTTCTTTCTGAATAGAAAGAAGACTAGAAAGAAGACTTTGTCTTCCTCTAAATTGGATGATTAGTCACAAAGAGTTAAGCATTTTGATAATTTAGAAAGCATCTTTTTACTAGCCACAAGATTGCCAAGAAACCATAGTGGGTATGCAAGGAAGCTTTCCATGCCCTAGGTAGGTTTGGACCACCTATTTCAACAAACTTAAATTTCTCAACTTCTCAGACTCTGCATCTTAAATTGCCCAGTGCAAAAGGATAGGCAGACTCTGATTCCTCTTTTTCTAATCCACTTTGGTAGCTAGAAAGAGATAGGATTGTGATACTGGTACTCACATCTGGATGGTGATGCTTTGTCTCTATCTCCTGCTACTGGCCAGAGAAACATTGGCAGGCATCATTTACTCAGCAAACACTCTCTATGTGTCTGTAACAGTCCTGTGTTAGTGGCTGGGTAGTAAGCATGGGGAGTGAACACAACAATAATGGTCCTCCCTCTGGACACTACCCAGAGTGCCTACCATAGTGGTCAGGTCAATTCTGGGCATATACATATTTATTTGGTATTTTGCTCTTTTACTCTTAGTTACCAAAGGATAAATTCTTCTTCAGTTTCTAAAAACCAACAAACACTAATTGTGAGGTCACTTAATCAATGTTTCTTGTGAAAACTAAATTAATATCAGAAAAAGACCTCTTTACCCAATTCTAGGAAAGAAAAAGACAATCTCATGCTAAACTGAGAGGGTTAATTCCACAATGCAAGAACTTGGCCTGAGACATTTTACTGAAATAAGAAGTGAATCTGCATTGCACTAATTCCTGGACAAAGCAGAGGACATGCAGAATAACAGTGTTGCTCATAACCATAGTTTCAGAAGGTTTCACATATTTATTGATTCACAATTGCTATAATGAGATTGTTCATTTGCGTCTGTTCTCATAGAGACACTGGCGGACTCTGTCCCTCAGCTAGTTATACAGCAACAATATGCCCTTGTGACCAGCTGGGTATAAGAAACCCAAGCTGAGACTACCTTTTTGGATCACCTTGTTTGACGTGTCTTGTATACACATCCACGGTTCCTGCATCCACAGAGAAAGTATATCCTGGTATAGTCTTTACAGTGTGAGGACAGATGGGCCTCTCACCTGCCTTCTCAGAAACCCTTGCCCTGAACCAGCCTTTGGCTGTGATGCATATCTTTACTTGTGCAGCTGCTGTGTCATATCTTTTTCCTGCAATGAACTAAAAATTTGTAAGCATTCTCATTCTGGATCCTCTGTTAGCTATAGAACCCTGTCTAACCACCACTGTTAGCGTGCATATACCGACCGAGGTAAAGGCAAATTGCTTTTATATGAAAACATTACCAACAGGCCGAGTGAACTGTGTCATTTCTGAGGTGGGCAAGGCAACTGGAAGAATCTTCTACAGACCCCAATATATGCACTCCTCTGGCAAGGCTTCTTAGAGTTTGTTTTTAGACAAATAGACAAGGATGGTTTAATTGACACAAACCATTAACTTTTCAGCTTGTAAAAGTCTTTTGAAATAATCTAAGTTGCAGCATTCTAACAAAGCAGATACTAATGAGCATCTCAGTGAATTAAAAAAAAAAAAACAACTTACATATTTATTGCCCAGGTGTGGGAAGGATTCATCAAGCTGTCAGTTCTTGGATTTTCCTTGTGCAGAGTGCTCACCTACAAACAGAAGATGTGTTTTGATCTATGAGCTCAGAGAGTGAATAAGGATGAAAATAAAGTTCCTTGGCTTTTTTTTTTTTATTTTTCCAGGAAAGTCCAATTTTCCTTCAAGGATGTCATTAGAGTCACAACTTTTCTCTTGGTATTGCTTGGAAACTCTTCAGCAAGATTATGAGCTTTTTTCCACCATCAACATCATCCTTAAAGGAGCAATGCTAACTAACTCCCTGGGAGTTAGGGGGGCGGGCGGGGTGTGAGTTAACAAGAGAGGCACCCTAGGGAATGAGGTATAGATTTTTGTTTCTTCCCTGAGCCTAAGCAAAACTATGTTATATGTTTAAAGTACCATTTTATCAAGAAGCCATTAGAATGTTTCCTCTGTTTAAATAATTGAGTGACTTTTGTAAAAATGAATTTAGAGGCCAACATAAACCCTTTGGTGATATACAGAGCAGCACAGGGCATATTACTCAAAATATCATGTTATTCCACCAGCCAATATAAATATTGACCTAGGCTGATGGGAAGCTGATGATCCCAAGTGTTTTTATATGCCCCTGACTCCATGATCAACATATTCACACTACCTGTGTCTTTCAGGTAGATTCAACTATCAACATCAGTCATACTATACAAAAGCATTATGGGTCAAAGTTTCTGGCTTTGAGAATAAGGTCATTGTTTTGCTCCAGCTTTTATCTGTCACTTAGAAACCTGTTTCTGGGAACTCTGTTGATGTTACCTGTCACCAGCACTATCGCTGTGATAATAGCGCCAGAGACCGATGAGGAGAACAAACTCGGGATGCCCTTAAGAACCCCTTAGGTGCTGTGCTCTGAGAGATGCCAGTCCCAGAGTGAGAGCCCTCCCAGACACCTTCCAGAACAACTCTTTGCTCATATCATTATTTTGCAGAAAGCACAGCACTTCCTAGATTCCATGGCTATGAAGGATAGGAATGAGAAGTGAAAAAAATAAACATTTATTGAACCCCTACTGTTTGTCAGGGTGATCTAAAGCAAATCATATGAAAATCAATCCAGTTCTTAATATCTCCTTCTAAGTGCTGTCTAATTGGTAATAGAAATATGAGAAAGATTCAATCACAGTATGAATCCAATAAGTTATAATAATGATGTGTATGGTAAAAGTGAGTGAAACACCTACCTAGAAAAAAAAAAAAAAACTAGAAGGAAATATACCAATGCCAACAGTGATTGCATTGCGTTGGATTTCATGAATAATTTTTAAGTCTTTTCTATTCTCTAGTTCTTCCTATTCTCTATTATGCATAATGTGTTCTAATATAAAATGGCAGTGTAAGCCATGAAGAGATATTACAAGGCAATGATACATGTTGATTTGCCAAATGAAAAAATAAGTTCAGAAGTGGGAAAGACTACGTACAGCAAGGACAGTCAAGGAAGCTTTGGTGGGAATGAAGGGAATGGTCAAACATTGAAGAGCTGAGAAGGCAGAAGCTGAATCTGTGAATGACTTTCTAAATCTTTTGATCTTCTTGCTCATCTTCACACTTCACATTTCTTTTTTTTTTGTTTGTAAAAATAAATAAGCAAAACAGTGACTGTACATTTAATAATTACCATAACATACTAATTAGTATTGGCATACTAGTAATGTGCTAATAATGTGTCATTACCATAATGGTGAAGTAGTGGAAGGGAAGGGGTGACAAAAGGGACCAAGGAACCATCTTCTCCTTCAAAAGAGCTTGAATTCGGCAAGAAAGACGGGGGCAGGAGATTCATGGTGTCTGGAGAATATGAGTTAGTAAGTGGTTCACAGACTGAGCAAGAGAAGTCTTGGTATGTCACAAAAGGCCTTTGTAGACATACTAAAGTGTTAGATAATACAAACTTACCAGTTTTCTAAGCAGAGGAATATTATAATGATTCAGATCTGCTTTTTCTTCTTCCAAATTGTTCAAAATCAAGTAGTGCTTTAAAACTAAATTCAAAGATATTATGCTTTGTTTCTTCTATGAAGTCAGATATTCTTTCATTAATTTGAGCAATTTTTCTTCATAATTCTTAAAGTTTTTGATATTAAAAATAAGACCATGTATATTCATTTTCTGAGATATGCATAAGTGGGGGTCATGTTTAAAATGCATCCTTGTCGCATGTACATTTTGGCGTCAGTCATGATGATGTTTAACTGAGCAAGATTTCTTACTACAGTTGAGTGGGATCTTGTATGTTCTCATAAAGGACTCCTTGATCTGCCATGTTTGGTGCTCATTTGTTTTTGAAAGCAGATTCCTATTATACTCTAGCAAATGTTTTCTTTCACATTAAAGAAAACAAATAATCAGATTTTAAACATTTATGGGTTACATTTTTAGCAGAAGAACCCATTTAAGAAAGAATATACTAGAAGAAAGCAAGAAATGTTGATGGATAAATACCATGGCCTCTTTAGAGGAGGCTTTGGAGTAAGCAACTGTCTTACTTTGAAAAAATGACCTGAACAACAATCATGGTTCTTGGAGGCTTCTGGAAACCCAGATACTTTAGCACCCACTGGCATTTCCACTGAAGGTGGGTTGCTGCAGAGCATTGTTTCCTTAGAAACATGATTTATCGACCTCCAAAATGGCATAATTTATTCTGAGATACAAAACCAGAGCTTATAAATTAAAGTACTGACCAATCCAATGAGTTTTTATGGACACTGAAGCTCAAATTTCATTTTGTTACCACTGAGGCACATTAACATTTCATTTCTTAGGCCACAAGCAAATAACATAAAATGTAACAATCATCAATTCGGAGTCCTGGGTAGACAGGTATTTATTCTATCAAATTCTTTTCTACATTTTTAAAAATTTTTATATAGGAGATAGTGGAAAATTGAGCTAAGCCTGAATTTATATCAAATTTCAGATTTTATTCTAGTTATATTTTGGGAAAAAGGTGACGGTCATGCAAAAGATGTTTAGATAAAATAATTATAACAACGTAACTTCTGTTGAGTGTAGTGAGCACAGTTGTATTAAAAAAGCATATTTGAATACATTTAAAAGGAAGTGAACAGAGATTTGTTGATGAGTGTTTCAGGAAGCAGACTTTAGTAAAAATTGTAGTACAACAGCATTTGGAGATAGTTATGTTTTAGATTATTAATTCTAGGCTATTGAAACTGACTCTGAATGAGCAATTTCAGTTTTGCCCTATCACCAAATATCTTCCATGTTAATCAGGTAGGTTGACCATTGAGAGGTTATTTCATTAAAAGAGGTATGATTCCTAAGTTAAGATTGTCAGAAACAAAAAGACCAGAGAGTAGATTTTATTATTCCCGTGATGATGTTTCCTCCTTAAACCTGTGACCTGAAAATTTACTTATGAGGAAAAGGAATCTTGGAGAACTAAGGGTCTTATTAACTATCTCTCCATGGACTATTCACTTGTTACTGCAGTGATTATGGGAGTGGAGAAACCAGTTTATGTTGAATTTTCCCTGGGCCTTAAAGAAGATTCAGATATTAAATTTGCAACCAAAAAACAAGGTTCTCTGGAATTTCCCCACCCCCAATCCTCAATTCTGGTGTCAGTTGTCATTTCCCTGGTAGAAATGGGTAGGACAGGTGGCCCTGATCACAGGCCTCTCCTGACAAGCATAGCCAGGGCCTCTTAGATGGAGCCCGGGTCTCCCATAGCTTGAAGAGCCCCGAGGCTGCAATGTGTTTTGCTAAATCCCCACGAAATAAGGACAGCATGCGAAATTATCGTTATGCTTTCTTGCAAGCTATAGGCAGATTCTGAGAGCTTTTCTTGGGAAAGGGGGTGGTCCCATTCAGGACCCCTACTTAGGATTAGCTCACACGTAGGCTGCTCTTTTTCTGACCTGGTAAAATAGGCTTGGCAACTTAGTCAAGACTGGTGAATAACCAGGAGAAACCTGTAAGTGATTTCCAATTATCTTATGAATGAATTTTACTCCTTTGCCCATTCAGATAGTTACCTCTAAGAGAACTGCATGGGACTAAAAGAAATGTGTGCATAGAAAGCATAGAGGAGACATAAGAATGAAGAATGTTTCTCATAAGAGAAATTGACTCCCATGAGGGGAGTCTGAGCATGTCTCTGCAGATTCTGGGCACCCTCAAATTTTAAGGCTTCTCTGTCTGCATGTTGTAGTTTATTCTCATTAGAATTTTCCACCTAAAGTTGGGACCACATTCAACTGTTGGTATATTGCTCTTGAACTGGGACAATATTGATTGCTTTTTGTTTGACAAAATTGTTTTTTTTGCTACATATATACAATGGAGTTTATTTTTCCATAGCTTTCACCTGACCAGGTATCTGTATTCTTTCACTATTTTGTATGGGTAAAATGGGGAGTGGAGTATTGTGAATGTATTCATGTAACTTGCTATTTAAATTAGATCCACGTGGATTGTTTTGTAGAGAGAATAATTATTTTTTATATACATGTTTTATAATATTGAGGTTTTAAATCTATGGTCTACTCAAAACAAGAAAAAAATCTATGCTTCATGTTTAAAAGCTACTCAGCACCTCATTTTTCATTATTCTTGATGTAAATATAATTAATACAAATCACGCCTATATTTTGAAAATTTATACATTTCAAATCCAATTTAAAAATGTAGGAAATTGGGAAAAATAAACATAAATTTTTTTCAACAGGAGATTGTATTTTCTCCTCATTGGGAAGCTCAATTAAAATTATATAAAATTATACAAAGTAGGATTTTATTTTACGTGATGAATCCAGGTTCCAGTTGACTATACATAGTCGTTACCAAAAATGAAACAAAGCAACAGCAATAATAAAAACCATGTGGTACATTAAAGTTCCTTGTGCTACTACCACAGAGTAGAAAATCTGTCAAGTCATCGCCCCTTCTTTGGAACATAAAAAGCAACCTCTTAAAGTACAATAGTCCAATGATCTTACTACAATTGATATTTCTAGGACTCATCATTTCTGTAGGGGAGAATTTTGCTTTGTGGGGAGTTACTTATTGTCTATTTCTTAAGAAATTATGCTTTTTGGTCATGTTTCACCTGAACAAAATCCAAGATAGATTTTGAAATAACCATTTGCAGCTAATCAGCAATCTGGGAGCTTACCAGACTCATGAGAAATCGTCTTAACAGTGAGAAGCTTCACACTCTCTTTATCAGACTGAGGTCTATTTGGAACAGAAAATATAAGTCAACACCACAGTAATTAACATTGCATGTCTGTGAAAGAAAATATACATGATATAAACAGAATGAAGAAGATATGCAAGAATATATATTTTTTATGTGTTTCTATGACAAACCTGTGTCTTTTTACATACAGACATACATATACCTTTGTAGCACTTTCTATTTCTAGAATCAAACCAATAAATCTCTGTCATACTGTTAAGCAATGATAGGTAAATCAAACACAAAACGGGGTCATGTGAAACATTGCTCACAAGGTCCATATTGCACAGGTCTCCAGTCCTGCATTACGAAAGGGAAGACATAGGGGTGTTTCCCAGCCTTTTGGGCCCATGCCGAGGTCTGGGGAGCTCTTTTCATGAAGCTGTGGCTACTGCAGTAAAGTGTCTATTCTGACCAAGAGTTCCCACCTATCCTTTCCCACATTCTAAACAGTTTCAAACCCAGATTAGTTTTTTGGACATCTCAAGAGACACCATTTCGAATAGATAAGAAGGGTAGGTGACCTAAGGATATTATTTTTAAAGTCCTCTATTCGATGAACATACAAAAACAACTACATGAAGGCAGGCTGCAAATTTGGGTCAACAAAGAAGTCTTAACTACAAAACTTGTTTTTGACATTAAAACAATTTATTTCTTTATAGAACCTTGACTGTAACAGCTGGCTGGATTGGTGACAACTGATTTTTTTTGTTTTGATAAACTCAGAATAACCATCTACTGCTAAGATAAAGCCACTCAGAGCTGTCTCACAGTGCAGTCATGATTATCCCCTGTGATAAACATACTGAAAATTTCACTGGAAAATCTCTTTCTAAACTCTAGGTATGTTTTCTATGAGATTTTTCCGTATAGTTACTTATATTCATCCTTCTATCTTTGCATTTCATCTTTATTTTTGTTTTTATTTATTTATTTTAGAGAAAAAGAGAGAGAGGGAGCACAAGTGGGGGGAGGGGCAGAGAAAGATGGGGAGAGAGAACCCCAAGCAGACTCCCCGTTGAGCGTGGAGCCCACGAGCCTTGATCTCTCAACATTAAGATCATGACCTGAGCTGAGATCAAGAGTCAGACGCTTAACCGACTGAGCCACCCAGGCAGGCGCCCCTGCATTTTACCTTTTGATTTCCCATTTTACTACCTTATCCAAGATTAAGAACAATGTCTCTTTCTAGTTGTTGGAATTTCTCTGTTGATTCAGAGAGTTCTGACAAAGAGCCAAACCTTGTTTCTTGGGCTTTTTACACAAATTATTTAAAAAATAAACCAAAATGTGTAAGTAGAAGATTAATTTTTTTTTTCCTTATATAAAAGGCAGGGTCAGAGCTTCTGGGGAAAAAAAAAATGATGTTGCTACTTACTGGTCATTTCCATTTTCTGGTGTGCCTAGGGAAGGAAAGAACAGTTATTAGAGCTGTGAGGAGCTTGACTATAAAAACAAACAAAAACAACCCCAAGTCCTCTGCTACTTTCTGTGCAGAGATGTTTATGATGCCATTTTGTAACTTTTTTGTCTCCCCTCCAGCTCCACTAGTCTTTTTCCCAGATATGGTTCCTATTATTCCTCAGGTATGGCTAATACATTCCTGGGATAGTCCTAAGTAGGCCAACTCCACTGAATTTAGTTCTGGACTAATTTCAATCTTATAGTTTCATATTGTTATGTGAAACTACTATCCATTATCACACATCCCACAGATACTAGAAAATGTCTCAGTTAATTTCAGTATCTCTGAAAAAAAATTTTCCTCAAAGTATCACATTACCTTTTTATACCAGAGAATTGAATTTTTGGCTCTCCTTCATACACTGCTCTTTCTGGAGACACAAATCACTGTATTTGCGGTGAACAACAATGTAGACTTTGCTTCTAATTGCATCTGGAGCCCACTGATTTGGCCTCTCAAAAGTGCTCTGCAAAATGTCACTGAGGTTACTAACTGTAACTAATCTTTTTTTGTTTTGCTGGGCTGCTCCACCAGGGTCTGACAGAATAATTTGGGGTATAGAGTGAGAATTTGGAATGATTCATTCTGCACAAAGCCTTGGATGTTAGGGAGGATTTGTTGGTGGTCAAACCCTGCATCATTAATCTGTGACGCCTTAAGCAAACTAATGTAATTGCTTAGGTTCCCCCCCTGTTTTGCTCCCAATTTTTTGTGGATTTATTTCATAGGTACTCAACTTTTGTCTCTTGGATTTCCTTTCACCTCTAATGTAGTCCTTGTCTTTGGGATGTGCCCTTTAAATACAATTCTCCTGGTGGTGACCATCATTATTTTACAAAGAGTTTGATTTCCACTGATATTTTGGCTACTTCTATTTCTGTCACCTTGGCTAAGATATGCCATCATGACTCTTAATCCCTAGGATTCAACTCATGGCACCATATGCTATTCTTTAACTCGATCTAACTTTGTCTTCCCAACATCAGTAGGATTTTAACAGCATTTTTTTATTCCTATTTTAAGTGTTATGTATGATATCACTTGTGATGCTCATAACCCTATTTCAGAATGAGTTGATACTTTTTTGCGTGCCTGTTTTAGTACTTTTCCTCAATACTGTAATTCAGTTTCATTAGCAGATAGATGCATACCAAAAGATTACCTTCTGCATATAGGCTGTTCTTCCTTGGGTTAAAGCTCAGACTGCTGTCAACATTATCTAGATAAGCTTAATTTCATATCAAAATCTCTGATTCATGTTATCTTCCACACAGAGAGGGTTTACAAATTTTCTGAACTTGATAAAGTCTCACCCACATACTTCAAGAGAGATTAACTGTAGGTGTTTAATGGTGCTAATTTAATAACAATGCTGTGAAACTTCTGTTTGGAAAACAAAGTTAACAATAACCAAATAGATTTGGCTAATTGTACAATTGCTGAACTTTGTTATAAAGTATTATATGCCTCCACAATAACTCTCCATAGCTGTAGGAATTTTACACTTATTTTCCCTGAATGATCCAATTCATCCAATTCATCTTCTTCATTAGAAAATGTCAACTTTTCAAATAACTTATTTGCAAATCTTCTTAAGCAAAGCAGTCTTTCAGTGTAGGGCATTTTTACAAATGGATTTAGCACATTAATTTTTTACCTATCCTACATACTCAACACCCACAGGCTTTAACTTGGATGGTCAATTTCCCATAAAAGATAGGACTGGTGGTTTAGAAACTTAGAGAAAGTAAACTGATTTATAAAATTGCTATTTCCCCTCTGGAAATAGACTAAGGAAACATATTTCAGACATTATTAAGAAGTTTATTCACAAACTCCCAAAAGGAAAGGCATTTATTTGTTTTCTGCTCATTTTCCAATAAGAGCTAAAATGAACACTACTGGTGTTTTGTGTTAACTTTGCCTTGTGCTTGTGCCCTGAACTCTCTGTGTGGTGCGTGGTGGAGACTGGCTGCAGGAACAGCATCCCTTAATGCCCTGGGGGCACACTCTTTATGGGGTAAAGAAGAGTATGGCTTGCGTATCTTATAAAAATAATCAATTTTGGGGTGCCGGCATGATGCACGTGATCTGGTAAGTGTCCAACTCTTGGTTTCAGCTCAGCTCATGACCTTAGGGTGGTGAGAATGAGTCCAGTAATAGGCACCTCACTCAGTACGGAGTCTGCTTGAGATTCTCTCTCCCTTTCCCTCTGCCCTTTCAACTCATGCTCTCTCTTTCTCAAATAAATAAATATTAAAAAAATACATTTGGTTTCAGGAGAATTTAGAGATTCATCACTTCCATACATCACCCGATGTTCCTCACATGTGCTTTCCTTAATCCCCACACTCGTTTCACCCACCTCCCTCCAGCATCTCTCCATGTGTTCTCTATAGTTGAGAGCAGCAGTAAAGAAGAGAAGGAAAGACTTTTAAAGAAGCGAGGAAAGACTTTAAATGCCATGGGAGAGATTAAGGAGGATAAGAAAGAATTGTCAAGCTTAAAACCCACTAAAAATTGCAATCATGTTTAATTCTGAGGAGCTTTATTAATCATTAATCAGCAGAACCCCCAGTCACAGAACAACCTTCCCTGGAAGGAAGCTCTGCCCCCCAGGATGGCCCATGTCACAGAATGCCCTTCATGAGATTGTGGGGCCCTCACCTAAATTCTTAGCAATGCTTACTTCTATTCTCTGTCACATGGAAGTGGAAAAATTCTTCACTACAGATAAGGTATGTCGTTTTCTGCCTTCGTTCACTACCATAATCCCTTGGCCACTCGCAAAACTGGGGTTCTTTCATTAAAAAGAATCTGTCCATATCTGATAATATCTGCCACCAGCAGATAATCCTCATCAATCCATTCATCAGCATTCAATGGATTTTTCTGTCCCTTCCCCTCTATTTCTGTGATCAAGCAATAGGGCATTTTATTTCTTTCTGTAATCCTTCTCTCCCCTTAAGAGTTTAAATTCAAGTTTAGACTGAACGTACATTCACCTTTGAAAAAACAAAATGAAACAAAACCCTGTTACCTACCTGGGTCTGTCTTCCAGCACATTCGATACAAACCCACAAGAACAAATGCAGAAAGTGTCACTACAATCAAAGCAATCACCACTGGCAAAATAATACCTAAAAGTATTGAAGACATTGGCAATTAGAGTGGCTATTGAATTTAACAGTAAAGAAGTTACAGAACAAAAGCAGGCATACATCTTTCCTTCTTTAAACATCACTCTATTAAACATACTATATTTTCAGCAAAGAAGACGTATCTGATTCAAAGGTTTTCCTCTAGTTGTCATTTCTGATGTATCCACTTGATGTCAGTCTTGCAGCCTTTTGAAATAAAGTTCCAAACGTAAGGGAGCTGGTTTCCTCACCTTCTTAGAGACTGGAGAAGTGAGGAGATGGAAGACTGGAGAAGCAGAAGATGTCCTCTAGACTATAAACCCACATTCACACATTATATTCTTTACTACTTTATAATACGGTTACCAGAATCAATCAATCTATCTATCTATCTATCATCTATCACGTACTGGAACTGCTCTAGCTGTGATGTTGGCTTCCTAAAAAACCCAGAAATTCTTAATTTCTTGGGAAATGAGTGGATTTTTTCTATTCAGTCATAGAATACACATACATGGTATATGGTATATATGTTTTGGCTAAAATGGAGCATTTCTTTAAAGCCCATTTTTAACATAAGGTAAAGTTCTGTGAAGGTGAACCATTCATTTTTATGGAGCTCTCTGCCAGTGCACTTATGGCGTATCTTTCCATAATAATATCTTAGAACTAGAAAAGGCATAAAATAGCATAAGTGGACATAAGTACATATCAAGGTGGATATGATTTCTAAAAACGAGCACATGGTTCAAGAATGGTGTATGTGTTTATGTGCACACACATTTAAGGGAGTGGTGTTGTGACAGTAAATTGGGGTGAGTTTTTATTCAGAAGAGGGTCTTGCTGTTTCAGTTTGGCTTTTAGCATCTGGTCTTCTTTTGTGACAGTCATTGCCCAGGTTAAAACATGGTGATGAAAAAACAGAGCTGTCATAGTCATACAACCAGAGATGCAGAGGCCATAGTGATAGTGATAGTTTACTGAGTATTCTCATCGGCTTGCTTATGTCCTCCTCATATTTATCCAGTTTTCTGTAGGATGGCTTCTACTTCCAATTTTATAGTTAAATATTTGCTTCATATTAGACCTTGAGTGAGATCATGAGTGCCTCCAAAAATGAAGATGCTGTGAATTAGCAGGTCGATAAATGCAGTGGTGACTTTTTGAATGGGATGGCTTTACCTAAATCTAGATCATCTTTTGTCATCAGCTTCATATACATTCATCTCATTCTTAATTTCTAGGGAAATGAGTGGATTTTTTTTCTATTTAGTCCTAGAATACACACTTGGTTACATGATATATTTATGTTTTGGCTAAAATGGAGCATTTCTTTAAAGGCCATTTTTAACATAAGGTAAAGTTCTGTGAAGGCGAACAATTTATCTTTACGGAGCTCTCTGCCTATGCGCTTTGGCTTATCTGAGACTAGTCTTATCCATTCACCTTGACCCTTGGTGGTAATCGCTTAATGCCGGGGTAAGAAAAAAATCCCAAAGTGTGTTCATTAAAACCAGACCCAACAGCAGGAAATTCTCAAAATAGGCAGTAATTATGTAGGATTATCATGAAATTGCAGGTTCAGCAAAGTTGACAAAAAACTGTCTATACTCGAATCCTCTCGGTTATCAGCCACATTAAAACATTTTGAGTATTTGTTGACACAAATGAAGAAACGTCTTTTACTCACTGGAGTAAGAGGGGTTGACTGAAGAAGAGCTTGCGTTTTTTGCATCTTCAGTACCTATTATTTTAAAAAAGAAAAACAATAGGTCACCTTTGGTTAATGTATGCCAATCCTCACAATCCACCCCTCCCAACCCCCATTTAACTAAGCCTCTGTGATTTCTAGGTATGATGTTTTCAAGTGGAAGCAAAACAAAACAAAACCCCTCATTCTGAAAGAACTCTGTTTTGTAAATCAAGACTGGTAGGGAGTTAATGTATACAATTTGACGACTTTGGACAAATGCCTATACCTGTGAAACTATCACCACAATCAAGGTAATAGACATGTCTATCACTTTCAAAGTTTCCTTGTGTCCTTGCTTTACCGTGGATATGCAGTTTTGTTTTGTATTTCAATTATACCTCGATAAAGCTGTTAAAAAAAGATTCATAAGGTTTTCTTGGTGAGAAGGGATCAAGGAAAGCACATGTCCACTCATGCACAGAAGTCATACCTTGAAACTGGGAGTTGTTTCCTGGCATTGTTACTGAGACTGAGGGTGATGTACTGGTATGAGAAGTTGACCCCTCTGGAGGTAGAGAACTACCTGTAGGGAAATCACAAATCCAGTCAGACGAGGGTATTGATTCTTCTTACTGAATTTCTTTGCAGATTTTACAGTTTGCATTTCTGAGGACCTGTGAAAACTGTTTATTGTGGAATCATAGGATACACACAATCATACATTAAATCATAAGTTCCTCTATTCCTCTTGTAAAGATGATTAAAGTTGGGATCACAAAAGCTGGGTATCAGTATCACATCTTTAAGGATTGGCCAAGAAAGCTGGAGTAAGTCTCTTTCCTAGGCTGCAGTCTGTATCACCCGCTGCATGAAAGTTTTGTGGGATGCAAATCTCTTCAGAAGCAGTAGTCACATTTCAGATATCACAACTTTGGGGGATAGAGATTTTTTTTTTTCCAACACACATTCTTAAAATAGACATAAATGCACAAGACTTCAGATTTTATCCTGTTTCTTAGTGATTGAATAAAAGATTGTCACTGAAGCTTTGGTTAAAAGGATTGAGGAAGATAGCAAGGAAGATTGCTTCATTTTCACCTTTAAAACTCAGTGGTTCTTTACACATATGTGCCTTTTCTAGAATAACTGCTGCTTGCTTGCATTTTCATCACTGTTTCATGCTCTTTTCTTCCAAAGAAATTGTTAATTTGAAGTTTATCATTATTATTATTATTATTAATTTGTTTAATTCAACATCTGCCACCTTTCATCAGAAGGACTGAAACAAAGTTCTAAATAAAAGTGCATTATTCAACATCTACTAATCTCAACAAGTTGCAAAGAAATACCAATATGTAAATTCTTTATAAGTTTGTAGTATCTGTTCTTGTGAATTTGAGATGAAGCACTGTTTGTATTTAGAATGGTTTTGAAAAAGAATTATTTTTCAAAGAATGTAGTTTCAAGTAATTTCCTTTGATCACACCTGTTTGCCTTTTCTCACCACTGAAGTTTAAGTTCCTGCAGTGTGAAGGCCGTAACTGCCACCATACTCCACATGGGGCTCTAATGGCAGTGGGTGTGCACTGAAATGGAGCTGGCTGCTTGGCTGAAGCAAGAGGCATTTCTTATAATTACGGCCCCCTTAGGAGTACTGAGGACGTGTATAATTGCATCAGAGAAATTGATATTGCCTATGACTGCCTTGGATCTTTCCCTTTTTGCCACCCACAGCCCAGCACGCCCTGCCTGCTCATGCATTTTTGACATCTGTGGGGGAAGAATAATGTTTAGAGTCTGTACCGTTCTTGCCATGCAAGAGATCTGTGGGAGGAAGCTAGATATATGCCCATAAGAACAAAGAAAAATGTCAGGCTAGTGCACTACACAGGCAGAAAAAGAAATATTAAATGAAAGAGTGGGAACTAGCTGAAACTGTGGTACTTTCAGCTGCTTTTTCCTGTGTCAAGTGTTTTAGTGAGAATGTTGCCCTTTTGATTGTGCTGGTAGAGAACAAGATGGCCGATTAAATTACCAATAGTATTAAGCTCCCTGGGATTTCCCAATGGTTAATTTTCAAGATTCCATACCCTATCTTACTATCTTCTCATAGACAAGCTAAGTGGTTACAATTCTGATTATTACCTCTGTGGTTTAGATAAAACTCCAAACTGCCCTACTTAACACATGTTGATTGTCCAGTGCCATCTGTTATTACTTACGATCCATAGGCTTGGCAATAGTTAACCTTCTCAAAAGAAGAATTTATTGGCTCCTTGGACAAAGACTTTAAAATTTTTGGTTTTCTTTTAACCTCAACCTTCAACTGATAAATCGTTTCTTGGGGCATCTGCTGGCTCAGTTGGTTGAATGTCTCTGATTCTGGCTCAGGTCGTGATCTCATGGGTCATGTGATCAAGCCCTGAGTTGGGCTAAGCTCTCAGCAGTAAGTCTGATTCAGAGTCTCTCTCCCTATCTCTCTGCCCTTCCCCCCACTCATGCTCTTATTCTCTCTCTCTCTTTCTCAAATAAATAGATAAATACTAAAAAAAAAAAATTCTGAATCTGGTACACCTACACACGCACTTACTTTGCCTCTGTTACATGTAATGCCTTCTGGCATTTTGTTTTCTATTGTCTTTTATTTAATTTTTTCCAATACTGGCCATAACCCACTTGTGGAAACTAACTCACAGTTTGAGGAAACTTGTCTATTAGCATGCTCATATCAATGAAATTATTATTCTTGGCTTAATTCATAAATTGTGGCCTAATGGAATTCTTTCTGTGACTAAGATAGAGGAATCCATGATGTGTTCAGAGCTGATGATGTTTGTGGATTTTGTTGAGACTCGGTTATGCTACATTACTACTAAAACAGCATTGACAGAGGAGATACAGGAGTATAGTGGAGTAAAGGCTTGATTCTGAAGTCAGAGTAGGTAGGTTCAAATCATTCCTTAGAATGCTGGGCAAGTCATTTAAACTCTTTGTGCTTGAGTTTCCACATGTACAAGTGGTGATTTTAATATTTCTATATCATAGTGTTGTAAAGTTAAATGGGTAAAATTAAATTTAAATGGCTTAGAAAAGTACTTGATACTAAGATATTTATATTATGTTATTTTATAATAATATTTTATTATTATATTATTTTATAATATTTTTATTATATTGTGATTAGGCCTCTAAAGAGTTGTACTTTTCAATCACAGTCAACTTGTCCCATTTTTTCCAAAAATTCTTGATGTAAAAATATATGCAATAGACTATTCAGACACCTCCATGTTTTTGGATACCTCTTTTCTCTAACCAGGAACTGGAATGACTGGAGTATACAGCACTCTTAGATGACATAGATTTATAGTGGGACCCTGACTTTTGGTGATGATAATGATTATTTAATTGCAAATATGTTGTGTCATAATTTTTTAAAAATTTTATTTATTTGTTTGACAGAGAGAGTACAAGCAGGGAGAGCAGCAGAGGGAGTGGAAGAAGCAGGCTCCCCTGCTGAGCACGGAGCCCAACGTGGGGCTTGATCCCAGGACCCTGGGATCAAGACCTGAGCTGAAGGCAGAGGCTTACCCTACTAAGCAATCCAGGTGCCCCTGTTGGGTCACAATTTAAACCCAGTTTGCAAGAGAGAAAAATCAACTACAGGCTGTGTAATTGACCAAGCTTCCCCACCTGCTTTCTGAAATTCACTGTTGTATTCTTTCTGATGCCATGTGTCCCCCAGGCTGCTCCCAGTCCGTGACTGAGCCTAGCAAAGATAAGGAAGCAGGCTTGTTCCTGGGAGTCAGAAACTCCTCTGAGGAGAGACTCAGACTGGAGAAGTCCCTGTTGCCCTTTAAGAGGGGGTATATAAGATACATAGATATTAATGGGAGAAAAGTGTGATTGGCAGTAGAGGAGAAGACATTCTACATGAAAAAGAAAGAAAAATTATATATTCTATTTTTATTTCTTATATGTTGCCTACACTTCTTTCTAAAATGTGGACACTTAAAGTTAAGTACCTGAGAGGCTAAACTCAATTAAATTCAATGATTTTTTTCCCATTGCTTGTAAATAATTGGGACTAGTGTTTAATTTCAATTTGATGGATTCATGTCTCATTTTTAAAAATAACTTTTCAGTATTTAACACAATAAATCATTTACTCTTCCTTAACCCCCCATCTTCATGTGGTTTGCAGCAGGAACACAGCTTATGGCTTCTTCTTCTTGGTCTCCAGCTGCTTCCCCTTTCTTTGTCTGACTCACAATCTTTGAGGGTCCTGGAGCTTAGTACTTGTCCTCATCTCTAACTACAATAATTTTCTTGACGATCTCATTCAATTTCAAGGCTTAAATACAACATCAATCCCACTGATCCCTGAATTTATAGTCCCAGCCCAGATCTCATTCTTAAACTCCAAATTCATAAAGCTACATGCTTATTCAGCAAATAACAAACATCTTAAATTCAACACATCCAAACTTGAACTTCTACTTCATCTGCAGCCTTCCCATCTGGCAATCATTCCTTCCAATCTTTCAGGCGAAAGACCTCACAGCTATTTTTGCCTCATCTTTTGCATCCTAGCCCACATGCAGGATCAGCAGGAATCTCTATTGGCTTCACCTCCGAAATATATACAGAATTGGAGACTTCACGCAACCTACCCTGTGACTACCCTGGTCCAAGCTAATAGCATTCCTCTCCTGGAAAATTTCCAAAGTATTTTTGCTTCATCTAACAGGCTCTCCTTAGTTCTCAGATTTACATTTATAAAATATGAGTCAGATCATGTCACTACTTTGCTCCAGACACCCAATGTTTCCCCATTCCACTTATGGAAAAAACCAAAGTCCTTGCGATAACCCTCCAAAACCTAGGCAATCTGCCTGGCAAATTTCCTACCCCATTTACTCAGTACAGGTGCTGAAACACACGGGATCTCTCCTCAAGTTCTAAGTCTGCCTGGGGTGCTCTTCTCTCACGGACTGTTTTGCTTACTTTCCTGCATTTAGTCAAATCTTTTTTTTTTTTTTTAAGATTTTATTTATTTATTTGACAGAGAGAGAGATCACAAGCAGGCAGAGAGGCAGGCAGAGAGAGAGGAGGAAGCAGGCTCTCCGATGAGCAGAGAGCCCGATGCGGGGCTCGATCCCAGGACCCTGGGATCATGACCTGAGCTGAAGGCAGAGGTTTTAACCCACTGAGCCACCCAGGTGCCCCTACTCAAATCTTTTTAGGTAAGTTTACCTTGATCGTTTTTTTTGGTCCTGCAAACTGGTCCCCACCTTTCTTCACCTAGTGAGCTCTCTTTCCTACACTGCTGTGAATTCTCTCTTTCTCATCACATTGACCACCTTCTAACTAAGACCCTTGTGGACAAGGATAATATTTTGTTCACTCATGTTTCCCAAATGTTAGAACAATGTCTGGAAGTAGGGTCTCTAAGTCTTTGCTTTATGGGTAAACAAAATTTTTGGCAGAAGTGACTACTGCTAAAGATTAAATGAATTAATGGGCATACCATTTGTGTCTTCATATTTGGACAGATGCATGTTTAAGATAATTGTATCATTAATA